AATCCCACTGGATTGGACAAATCTCAAATGTGCATTAGATGTATAAATACACTTTTGAGGGAACATTCGGTCTCTCCATTATAATGATCCTAGCCAAACTTAGCCTAGTGTGCTCTAGAGTTGATTTCTGTCCATTTCATGTCAAACATCCCAGACTGCAGAAGCATTATTGGTTTATGTAAGATCCAGGCAGAAATCTTGGATTTCAACAATCCTTTAATAAAGCATTTTCCATTTCGACTAAACTAAATGTCATCACAAGAACAGAGACCCTGTCGACCACTTTTTGTACACCCCTTCCCTCACGTGTACAAAAAAGGGCAGATGACTATTCTTTAGATAAAACAATGTAAAGGTATGGTCAGCTGCCTCATATTTACCACTTTTTGTACACGTGAAGAAATGCTTCCAAGTTTGAAGACGTTTCGCTTCCCATTCAAGAAGCTTTTTCAATTCAAAATGTCAGAAATAGCTTTGAGTTCGAGGCTTTATAGAGTTGACCAACAATAACTTTTAACTTTTTTGGAATGACTATGACCTGGATGACTGGGAATCTTCACCAGCACGTGAAGAAATGAGTGCACAAAAAGTAGAATATATGGGGCCATTGAAATACTTGATAGTGTTAACAACCCAAAATGAGATTCATATGCAGAAACTGGAGGCTGAGGGGCATATGCCTGCACTTTTGAATGTATATAAGGATGGTCTGATTCAGTATTCAACACACCTGTCAGCTCCAACTCAATTCCAATTAGCCTCCATCAGATTCACCTGCTTACCTGACTATCTAACCAGCTAGTCACTAGTGCCTGTTCATTACGTGCCACCGGTGAGTTTAGTCCAGCATTCCAGTTATCTGACTGCCTGATTCTGCATCCTGATTCTCTGTGCCTGCATGAACTGGACCTTTCATAGTGTACTTTTTTGGATCTCTGACCTGTTTTCTGTGCCCTGACCTCATTCTAAGATCTCCCCTGGATTGTCTCATGATCTTGGATAACGTGGCTCTGACTCTGGACCTGTTCTCAGAGCTGGAACTATATTTTCTCTCCTTGATCATTCTGCCTGTCTCTGGTCTCATGGAACTGACCCTATGCATTCCTTCTTCAGAAACTCTCAAAGTTTGTTCTCAAACACCAAGAAGGTTAGTGAGCCAGAATTTAAAATGAGAGTCTCCCTCTGTTTCTGTCTCCTCACTCAATTGTTCAATCCCGCCCCAGAGGTTCCAGTTGCTGACTCTGGTGAATCCCTCCCAAACTACCGTAGTTTCTGTAAGGTTCATGGCACCTCTAGGCTGGGTCTTTTGCCTTTTTGCTCTCCTCTGCTTTGCTCTGCCAATTGCTCATTAGCTTGTCTCATCCAGCTGTCCCTGCTGCTATTTAAGCCTCTGGACCCCAGCCTTTGGTGGCAGATTATTCAAGCTTTCTAGTGAGACTAACTCCTGCATTCTCTTTGTTTGGTTCTGCCGGGTTGACCGCCACTATTTTCTCTTTTTGCCTGTTCCGTTTGTTCTGAACTTTTACCTGGATTAAGCCTGGTGTCGTCTTTGGATCTGTCTTCTGACCACGACTTGAATTACCCTTGTAGATCTTTCGGTTCCCATGCGTGCTCTGGTTGGTGAAGGATACTGCTCCTCTTCTCTCCTGGATCTCTGCTGCCAGCTCAGTGAAAAGCAAAGGAGTTCCACGCTTCCGGACAACACTCCTTCTTCTGGGCACAGGCTGAACTTTGCCGGGTTAGTGGCTTTCATACTCATTATTATTTATCGTTTGAGTTTCACTGACCTCAGCCTCTATTGAGCCCACTGCAGCAGACAAGCAGTCGCACGCTTTATCAATAAACAATTTTTTTAATATATCACTGTCTGTCTTGCCTGAATTCCGGCTCTGACAGTTTCACATTCCAATAAATTGTTAAAAAGCCCTTGTTGTTCTGGTTGAATTCTAGGTTTGTCATTTTCTGGTCATTATGATGTATCATGCAAAGGTATAGTCATCTGCCCATTATCTACCAATTTTTGTACACCTATTAACCTGTATAAAGAAAAGTGTCAGTTATGAGGCCAATCAAATACTTGATGGTGTTAACAATCCAAAGTAGGTTTTGTGTATAGAAAGTGGAAGATTAGAGGCAGATACCAATACTTATGAATGTCTAAAGTAAAGGTATAGACATCTGGATCTTATCTTCCACTTTTTCTAAACACTTTTCTCAGGTGTACAGACAGTGGAAGATAAGGGATAGATTTTCATACTTCTGCTTTTATGCTTTCTGATTCCATAATGTCAGATTTTCACCCTGCTGCCATACTGAGGTTAAACGACACACAGACACCATAGAGGAATCTTCCTTCTCGTTACGACATACTGAATGAGGACTATGAAGGGCAGATCTCTACAATCACCTTTTTTCCAAAATTTAGGATTTGAGTGCTATACCTTTGAGTATTTTTAGAGCTAGTACAGCTGATTTCGCTTTGTTAAACACTTTCAACCTGTGTCAGCTCAGAAGTCCAAAGGCACACAGGAGCCATTGAGAGCTTGTTCTTTTCGTCACGATGAGACGAACGAGGTGTGTGAACATGGTAACTCTATGAGTATCTTTTTGCCAAAATGTTGGAGTTAGGGTCTGTGCTTTGGAGATGATACTCAATTTCAAATATCACCCCCTCATTAAAAAATATTATAGATCTGTTTTTTGTCTACCCGAGATCCATGCATCAAAGTGATGCAGGAATGCACAATAAAAGCATTATGCATCTACTGGAATGAAGACCCTGACAAGCTTGATAAGAATGGCACTATTGATAAAGCTCATTTATATAGAAAACGCTAACCTGAACGATTTTGAAATTTCAGTGCCACGAAAATATTAATGTTTGTTAATACCAGTTGGCTTAATGCTATTTTGAGGAGGTTTATGTTGTCGCAGAGGAAGAAATAAAAAACAGTTTTGCTTTGTCAGATTCATCTAAGGATGTTGGCATCATCATTCACCAGGGTTAATATAGCAATCCCACTGTTGAGTTTATTACCTTTACAATATTGTTACAACCAGTACAAAATTGAGTCAGAATCTGATATTTGGATCATTAAAGTATTTCTGGGTCTGTTTGTGATGATGTTGATTGATATCTTCATTTTGGATCAGTATCATTAGACCGTTAATGATTTAATCAACATTGACCAAGGTGTGGTACTGGTCTGATGTTTGTGACCATCAAAGCAATAAATGTATGAAATGTAGAATATGTAAATAAAACACGAGCACAGTTACAGTGGGGCAAAAAAGTATTTAGTCAGCCACCAATAGTG